GAGGTACACAAACCGATCTGGCTGCTTGTACGTCTGGCCGGCGGCGCTGACCGTGAACGGGTGTTCCTCGATCCCTTTCGGCAACATGGGCATGATCTCCGTCTTTGGCTCTGATACCATCAGTCCGAACAGGCCGGCCACGCGCACGATGATCGACATCATCTTTTCGAGGCTCTCCGGCGTGAGCGAGACGATGGCCGCGTCGTCAGCGTAGAGCATGTCCCACAAGGCCTCCGCGTCCGTCACCACCGTCGTCTTCTTCCCCGCCGACCTGCCCTTCTTGCCCGTGTACTCCACTTGTGTCCCGATCTTGACCATGTCCGCCGTCACCTTGGGGTCCTTGTCGAACTCGGCCACAGCGACCATGAGCATCGCGGCAAAGAACAAGTTGAACAGCAGCGGGGCCAGGTTGCATCCCTGTCGGAGGCCTTGGCCCACGTCGAACCATTCCGAGTACTGCCCGTCGTCCGTTCGGACGCGCGCCCTCATGCCCTCGTGGAAGTGGCGAATGACCGCCAGCATCTTCGGGGGCACGCCGAAGCGTCGGAGCACGTCCCACAGTAGGTCTCGGTCCACCGAATCGTATGCCTTGGTGAGGTCGACGAAGCACGCGAACACCGCAGTGCTCTTCTTCCTCGCGAGCTCATGGAGCCGCTGGATGGCGAACAGCATGTCGAGCGTCGACCGGTGTGGGCGGAAACCGCTCTGCTCCTCCGGGAGGATGCCCTCTCGCTCGCAGTAGTGGCTCAGTCGTGTAGCGACGACCTTAAGCAGCACCTTGCCGGCGTGTGCGACGAGAGAGATGCCCCGGTAGTTGCCGCACTCCATCGTGTCCCCCTTCTTGAACAGCACTTTGATGGTGGCATCCTTCCACTGCTGTGGTGCGTCCCCCGTCTGCCACACGTCCTGGTGTATCACGTCAAAGGTTGTGACGTTGGTTCTCAGTGTTACGCTACCACGCCCTGCCTGTCCCCCGATTGCGTTGCCTTCTCGCTCTAGCCCCTTGGCCTTTCGGAACGCCCTCTGTACACGAGCCTCACCTCCATCGAGCCGCATCAAGTCCTGTACGTACACGCCCATCATCACCCCCCGCCCCACCCCAGGCACCCGGGGACACGAGCCATTCGTCCCCTCGCTTGATCCCACCTCCGCTTTCAGCTCTTGTTTCGCGCTCGCAGACGCCTTGGACTTCGCCTGAAACGCCCCGCCGGCAAGCATGCCAATGCGAGTGAGATGAGACGTCCAAAGCACGGTAAAAATGAAATCTTGGGGGAAAGAGACGTCTCGCGGCGTGTATGAGTCGTCTGCTTGCTATGCAGACTCTCACCAACCCCAGTTATAAACGGTTAAAGCCATGGGCACCTTGAGTATATGTTACGCATTCGTTGTGCACGCATTCGTATTGTGGTTATCGCATCTTTTCCGGACATCGATCGTGACACTTTCGGTACAATTCTGGACGAACCAGCCGGGGTCACACAGGAAGGGAGCGTTCACACAGGAAGGAAGGCCACACAAACGTAGTACTGGATGTTTTGTCCGCCTTTCTTTTGCGATGCTCGCCTTGATTTCGATCGCGAGAAGGATTCAGCCGTTCCTTTCCTATGTCGGCGGTGAAGCCGATTATTTCGTATACACCAATAATCCCTTTCCACGTTGTTTTACCGGGCGTGTTGTGAGAAAACATCCCAGCCTGTGTGATTGCACCGAGATTCGAACCCACGTCACGAAAGTCAGGAGGTTGCGAGGAAACCAACTGGACCACCCCCACTGTTGTGTGACCATCTACGTTGCTCGGCTATATTTCCCCCACAAATAATACACAATGTGAAAGGTAGATTGCGAATCACCGAGGCGTGAAGAAAATATTCTCGAGGTCTGCAGAACCACCTACAGAGAAGACCAACGGCGCCAAAAGATTCGTAAACATGTCTCCGCACAAGCGTGCAGACGAAAAATCCGGTCGCATAGAACGTTAGCAGTGGTTACCACTTCTGGAGCATCAGTGATCTTCGTGGCAGAACACTGCGTGTGTCCTAACTGCGCAAGCAGCAGCACCAACCTAGCACCTATTAGCCAATGCACCATTCCACGATCCGGTCAAAAGGACAGAAAAACAGAAAACCCCAACAAAGCTGCTCCGACAGATCGGCGGTGCCGCTTTCGCATCATCACCAAGCGGAAGCCTTATTCGGGAGGACAATACGCACAGTTTCCGTTTGGGTGGGGGTACCCAGGTTTGAGTTCTAATCTGGTTCACAAAGAGTTGCGGCCCCCCATGTATCTACAGCAGCACTCGTAGACATTCATACACCAAAATTGCTACAAAAACAAGGCAGTAAATCGCGCCTGCTTTCCCGCGGTACCCGCCGCTACTGCCATCGAGCCGCCCGTGGAACGTTTCGGGTCGTCCTCCCCGGCTCCATGCCCGCCGTCGTAGTCCTCAGGAAAAACGCCTCCGACAGCGAGGACGGGATGCAAACACAGGTGGCGGCCTATCATAGGGTGCTTAAGGCCGGAGCGGAGAAGGATAGCCGGAGTGTTGATTGCGCCGCCTGAGACGACCACCGCCCGCGCCCGCACCGTCAGGGGAGCAGCCTACATACGGATGTGGGTGCAGCGGTTAAACGTGGGCGATCAATCAGACTTGCAAGGGCCCCGCTCGGGTTCAACTCGGAGGCTGGTCTACGGAAGGAGATATCAGGACGAGTTGCACGCGGCACGTCATCGTTCACAACACCCACCAAGACGCTCAACAGAAGGCCTTGTACGTGAAACGAAACGTTATTTTGATGTGACAATTCCAAAGACCGGGCTACAGACGCCAACAGGCAACCAACAGGCAACGCCAAAGACGTGTCCGGCACGAGGAAATACGTGTTCACAACAGACGGAGCAGGTGCGTCGATCTTGATAGAGACCACGAGACAGGTCGAAACGGTCCAGACCGTTCATTTTCCTGACAGCCTCAAGTGCAGGGTTGCAACAACTGCCCCCACTGTGAAGTGCGGACTGACGAAACTTGCAACCGCAAGAGCGATTCTACTTTCAGATAACAGCTCCACATCACGAAAGGCGTACATTTAGGGTGAAACATTGACAAAAACTAAGCGACGGTGCGGATGCCTTACCTTTCCACCTCCATGTGGAGTGACTACGGCCTCGACTCCGGTAGCCCTGCCAGCATCCATGAGCACTCGCTCAACCTGTCATGCCATAGATTGCCACATAGTGATTGTTTTCAGATCTTGAGTGGTCAAACGACACGCCTGGCGCCACCATGCATTCCCTGGCCATAATCACACGGAGTTTCGACACGCTGGGACCCACGGGGCGCGTGAAAACGCTGGGTACCCGTGGCACTTCCTGAAGTCATGAGCACTGTGCACAGCGGTGCCTATTTTTGCAAGCGATATACACACAGCAGGTCGTTCTGCGCTTGCCTTGGCGTTGGGCACAAGGATGATATTGCCGGAGTCCAGCCCATCTTGCAGCCACGTAACCTTGATGGACACGCGAGAGGCAAGCGGAAAAATAGCATGAAACAACGCCGGGGGAGGTGAGGTGCTGTTCAGGGATCTGGTCGGCGCCTGGAGTCAGCAAAGCTCCACGCCCCCAACTCCAAGCCGCGCCGAAGTACTTTGATCGATTTCCGGCTTTGTAATCGACCACGAAATAACCGGCACCACTTTCCAAGAACAACGGGCCGCAAGCCGCCAGACAATAGCGGATGCACATGGCAGTACCCTCTGCAAGCAGTTTCCCAATATATTCCTACTTCCCCGCGATTTCAATTCCCTCTCTCTTTCGTTCTCGCTCGCTCTTTCTCTCTCTCTCTCCCTCTCTCACGTGTGTTGATTGCTTGCTGCCGTACGCACAACCATGCAAGCAGCTTCCGCAGTCGACGCATTCTTTTGTGTTGGTGGGAACCGCCCTCGGCACGCGACCGGACGCTGCGGCGCCGTTCCAGAGGCTGGACTGGTGCTGATTTACCCTCAAGGAGGCGTTTGGCACTGGAAAACCCGGGGCCCGGTGCGAATTCCCGATGTTGACCTGTGGGAGCAGTGGGCCATCAACGGCGGGCCACCAGGTGTGTTGGTATCACTTTCGCAAGCCCAGCTTGGGACGCAACCTCGCAGGGTGGACTGGGTCGAAATAGGCACGCGTGATTTCTATGGGTGGTATCCGGAACGATACCGAAACCCTCCCCCAAGATGAGGGTTGTCGACCAAACACCATCTCGCACTCGTCCACGTGGACAAAGAAGCTCTGCAAGCGTTAAAATACCTCCGAAGTGTTGAGACTTGATCCCTCGGGGTAACGATTTCGCACGACTTATATTACCTGGTACACTGCAAGCACCCAGCTCCTCCATCCAACTCAGAGTCACACGTCTGGTCTCCGGCTACGCCACCCAGGCCCCAAACGCCCCGGCGAGTCGCGAAAATACACCTTTAGCGATGGCCATTGCACAGGAAGAACCAAGGATTCCTCGTTCTGGTCAAGGTGGCCACGCTACCGAACATTACACCGATTGACTCACCCCCAGTCTCGAACACACGGCATCCAGGGCGTTATCGAGGGGTCCACCTGGTTCGAAGCTCTTCAAGCCCAGCTTCCGCGACCACTCTAACCTCACGTGCCTGTTGTCGACACGTTCCACGCGTAACGCGACACAGACAAGACCATTGCTCTACCCACCACGTGTCCCCCATCCTAAAATTTCTCAGCCCAGTAACACTTTCAAAGGGGTGTTTTCAGCACCATTAACCCACGGCGCTGTTTGGGGGCATCAGAAGGGCGCACGGCTGTCGCAGGGAACGAGCCGTTGCTACTTCCACAATGCAATGTAGCAACAACCAACAGACAGCTTCCAAGTACTACTGCGTACAGCGCGAGGTGCCTACCCCGATAGGCGGCCACCGCTCCAAGTGTTTTCGTCGTGTCATTGAAAGGCACCATGTACCAACTGCCGGAAACAAAAAAAAAACGTCCGGTGCGGTCAGTGACAACGTGCCCCAAACCGCACAAGAAGTGAGCCCCCCCCAGAAACATCAAAACTTCAGCACAAAACTAATTCTGATGCCGCGGCGTATTTGAGATTCTCTGCGTCACCCACGGTAGCCCTCCGCCTCCCGGCCTTTCTTGTTGTGCTCCAGAACCAGAGGCACCAAAGTGCGATGACAACACTTCCCCTTTGGGGATGCCCGAATGGGTGCCTGAACGAATACTTTCGACTTTGATATCCCGCGCCCCCACGGGAGATAGCGCCGACCCAACGAAAAGGCAAAATGGCAGATCCTCGCTGATTCTTTCGGAAGCCCATTACATGTTGCATCATTCCGTGACAGCGCTACCGGAGAGCAGCGACATAGCAGCAGGTTCAATTACCCGAATAGATAGTCATGGGACGCTTTCCGAGCACAACACCCGAAATAGTACCTAGGGGTGCGGAAGCTGGCCGCCCAGTTCACTGTTGTGCCCCCTCCGACGCAGGACCCTGCAAGAATGACCACAGCTCCGCCTTCTGTTGCCAATACACCCTGTTGAAGGTTACCGTACGAACATGAATCCATGAACACACATCACATGATTGCTGTTTCCGTTGTCCTGGTCGTCGTCATTTCGTCGTTGTTGCCGGTGTTTGCCACTTTCGACACAGCCAACCTAGGCAGCACAGCTCCTGCATGCAGTCGTCCTTGCAACCATCAGCGCAATATCGAACGACCTCGCCGCAAAAAAACAGGCTGCGACACGGCTCTTGACACCAGGAGAAAAGCCCAGGAACTCATCGTGGGCGGTCATCCATAAAAGCCGTTTGGTTGAGCGGCAAAAACTGCCGACGAGCTCTGATTGCACCGATCCCGCCGACGCACCAAATTCTTTCTCTCACCTTTGCACTGCCAAAGGGTAGAAGCCACAAGCATACTTCGCAAAACATGAAGCACACACACACAACACAAAGGTTCATGTTTCATGCTGCAGCCAACACGCCCCTCACCTGGCCCTCATACATGTCCTTGTACGCCTCCATTTCGGAAAACCCGGCAAAGTCTGGTGCGCCGTAGAGTCCCCCTTTCTCCAAAACCGCCACCCTCAAGCCTCGTGCGGCCAGCGCGCCAGCCGCGCACCCACCGCCCGCCCCCGACCCGACGACCACCACGTCAACCGTGAGCTGCTGCGGCAGGGGTTCATGTGGTGGTATCGGAACAGCACTTGCCCTGCCGCTGGTGGTGCCAGACGAGGGCAAGAAGGCACCGGCTGTGGCGGCCGCGCTGCCGCTGCTCTTGCTTCGGGGGCGGGTAAAAAACTTGGGGAGAACGTCTTCAGGCGCTGGTACCCGCGATGGTGGTGCCGCCGCTGCCGTTGCCGGGAATGAAGGTGGTAGGGATGACGCGGGAGATGGGGGGTTGCTGTGGCTGTTCGCTGATGATGACCTCGATGGACGAGGAGTCGTGGACGCCACTGCTGCCGCCGCCCTCGCCGTCAGGGAGACCCTTTCCTTCACCTGGTCGCGTGAAACGGACAAACCAATTCAGCAAAGCGGAGGAAAGTGGAGGAGGAAAGGACAGGGTCATCTTCCACGTAGACACCAAGCAGCGGGCTAGCGTCGCCTCCTCGCAAACGCAAGAAATCGCATTCATAAAATCTTTTTCTTGCTACGAATCTCCGGTACACGCTGCCTGAGGGCGACACTTGTGTCCGTAAGCGACCAAACCACGCTGCCGCACCTTTGCTCCTGACCACAGTCCGGGCCTCGCGGCAGCTGCGCCAATCGGATTGAGGCGTTGCCCCGTCGACGATAATACAGGGATCTCGTTCCGAGCGAAACGGTGGTGTTGCGGGTCGTACCGGATGTCGATCCAGTTAGGGTTGGTCTTGATCTTGGCTAGCGCCGCTGTCCACTCCGCCCCCGATTCCTCCGGGTGAGAGGGTTTACGGTGCACCTCCGGATGTGCGCTGAAGAACAGAGAGCACGTGAGCCGCTTGACTCCCTGAGCGAAAGAGAAAAGTAAGGGCGTACTGGTGTCCCCGAAACATTTGAGATTGTCGTTGTCGTAAATGCTTTCGCGAAAATCCCTGGCCGCGATTGACTGGAAAGCAGTCCATTCATCAGTCACTGCCTGACACATGAGTCGAGAGATTTCCAAACAATTCTCCACGCGCTTCCATTCTCAGCACAGCTCACAATGGATAAGCGTTTAGGGTTCAATCACGGACAGTGCCTCTTTGCGAAAGGCAAATCGAGGAATTAACTGACACACAGACACATGTCGGCCGCGATCTAGTCCTCTCTCAGACACCGCAGTGACCAAAAGCCCAGCTGTTGGAAACGCACCCAATGTATCCATACCAACTCCACGAGGAATACCAGACCACGTTCTCACTTGGAAAGCATCACGCAACGGCCGTATTCGCGACACCGACCACCTCTTCAGCACGCCATGTCGCGCAGCGAGGCTCTGGGAGTGAAAGGGCACCGCCCTCCCCGTGAGGATGAACGCCCCCAGCCGGGTGCTGAGCATCCGAAACAGCACTCGAAGGCCTGAGCGGGAGAAAAACGCGATGGTCGAAAGGAAAAAAAACAATCGTCGAGTCTATTTAAAATTCTCTTTGCGCGTGGCCTGCATCAGCCTCTTCTGTTACCCTGGCTGGCACATCGAAAACAGAACGACAGGTGTAGACAGGCGCCCAGAAAAAAAGAACGCCGAACAACGTACGGCACCAGATTCAGGTGCCCCCCGTCTGACACCACAAAAAAAAGGAAAAAACGTACAGCGGAGAAGTGACAGCTTCACGGCACAGCACGGCCCAGAGCTACCGTACCACCATGTCAAGGCGTCGCGGGCCCGGGAGGCGGACTCCAGCAAACACCATGAACGCATTCTCCCGAGAGCACCGCTCCTATACCTTCTCCCGCAAGAGAAGCTACGACACCCCTTCGTTAGGACAAACCTAAGCGCTCTTCTTCCGAAATGTTGATCTCGAAGGCCTGGGCAAGGAGAATCGCCACGCCGACATCAGATCCCGAGCGGCCGTGCATCGCTAAGCAACGACGAACGAGCGTTCGCGTGTACGCCTCCACCTTCACGGGAAGTTGTTCTTGAATGCGGGAGTTAACGTTAGGCCTCTTCCAGGCCAGGACTCCCCCTCCTCCTCTTCCTCCTCTACTAGATGTCGTTTTGCCCCGTTCCCTCGGGCCGACTTCTTTTCGGAACATGTTTGCACGGACCATGGCAACCACCTTCAACGGGAGGTTCAACGGAGAGGACGCGGCGGAATGCGCGGCGGGCGCACTACAACTATCGATAGTGGGAGGAGAAAATCTGCAAGGCACACTCTCGCGCGATGATGAGGCCGAGTTGCCGCTTAGAATCATTGCAAATATGGCGGTAGAAAACACTGCTGTTTGGCAGAGAGACCGCCAACATGGCGCCATTGTCAAAACAAACTCCAGGGGAATTCGTTCTGGAGTTCGAAGAGAGGGATTGTAAGTTCCCAGGAGTTTGACTAACGGCCTGTTCTCGACGGAATATCTTGTTGATTGTGATAACTTCGACACAACGGCGGGCGGTACACTTGCGGCGGGCCGCGGGAGAGGCCATGTGAAGAGAACACCGATCTATTTCCTGCCAAGAGCTCGATAGTCAAGACTACATGCTACCGCTACGCTGACGGAAGGAATCAGAAGGTTCATTGCCTGCGCGATGGCCACGCGGAACGCATGCGTAGATGGTACAAGGTTGGAAATTCGCGGTTCAGACAGGTACTGTATACATTCGACCAACATTCGTGACAATCCCTAACCGCCGTACTGCTGTTCATTGGATGAACCCGCCTAGTGGTACTCCATGCTTGTTCAGAGGCAACGTGGCAAATCAGAGAAAAGAAGTGCGTTCAGAATACCATCGTCAGAGAACCAGACATACCCCCCCCGCTGGAACCACAGCCCCCGCCGGACACTCGGATGGGGAAGGCCGAGTATTCCGTAAACCTTCCTGAAAAAACACGAAAAACAAGTGGACACGGTCCAGTTGCCGTAGAGATCATGAGGATGGTGAAGAAGCCCGGAGGATGGAAGCAGAAACTGTGGGAGACAAGTTGGAGCTGCTGCTGTTTGGGATTCCAAGGGACATGACGAGTATAGAGTTCAAGAACTGTTGTGACAGGGAGGGACTGCACTGCCTAGCAAGAGGACAAGTAGGCATAGAGCATGAACACTTCCGGGTGAAATTGACCAAGGGAGACAGCCAAGAGTGCTTGGGGGTTGACATCGAGAAGCTGTCGAACTACGTAAGGAAGTTTGGATGGAGGGTTTGCATCGCGAACATGATAGAAATAGACAAGGTAAGAAGACAAGAGGCGAGGGCGACGGACGCGAAGAAAGGACCGAGCGGGGGAGGCGAGCAGGCAAGCCAGAAAAACACCGAGAAGAAGCGGAAGGCGAACGATAGAGTGCACAAGATCTCCAATAGGGAAAAGCGCAAGCTGAGAGTCGGGTGGTGGAGCGTTTGCGGGTTCGCAAGGAGTGAGGGCAAGCAGTTGGAAATAGTGGACCAAATAGAACAAAGCGATCTAGATGTAGTGGGGATCCAAGAGACGTGGGAATTGAAGGATGGGGACGTGGTAAGCAAACTAGGGAAATACCGGTGGGTAGGGAAGGCAAGAAAGGGCTTAGACCCGAAGAAAAGGAGGGAGGGGGGAGTCGGATTCCTGGCCAAGGACCACTTGCTTGACGTGGTGGAAGTAGGGGTGAAAACGGAGTTCGAGGAAAGCCTATAGCTTAAGATACCTGGGGAGC